TGTGGGAACGGCAACCTTTTTTGTTTGTGAAACAACTACCTTCTTTGCTGGAGTTGTGGTAGCCTTCTTGCCTTTTTTCTGAGGGATTACAACCTTTAAAAGCAAACAGATCATAAGACTTCCCAATATCCAATGCCATATTAAGATACTGACACTAACTTTGAGCTCAAGAACACTGGCATTAGATACGTGTTAAACCCTGGAGTCACAGGACTGGAGAGATGGCTCAGCAGGTAAGAGCACTTGTTACTCTAGTGAGGACCCTAGGTCAGTTCTCAGCATCCACATGATGGCTCTAACTCTAGTTCCAGGAGATCCAAGAACATTCTTCTGCCCTGAGGGCACCAGGCATGCTTAGCACACTCACACACAAACAGATAAACACATAAAAATAAATCTTAGCCAGGTAGGTGGTTTATCCCAGCACTGAGGAGGAAGAGGCGGAGGCAGGCAGATCTGTTAGTTTGAGGCCAGCCTGGCCTATAGACTTCCAGGATAGGAGAGAAGGCTCCAGAGAAACCCTGTCTTTAAAACCAAAAAATAAATAAATCTTAAACCTTGGAGTCAGAGTACATGGCTTTCTATATGCTTACAAACACCCAAGTTTAAGAAACCCTCATAAATGAAACTGGCCTCCAACTCCACTCCTACACCTCAGCCTTAAGTACTAGAGTCACAGCAAAGAAATATCTATTTTACTTTCATTTAAAAAAAAAAAATCCCACCCAAACCACATTTCCTTTGGTCATTACTAATACAGCTCTTCTAAACAAGAAATATGAGCATAATCATTTTATAGCCCAAGCTTGCCTGAAATTCAAGAATATCCCTACTCCTGCCTCCTGAATGAAATGTCCATGTCTTTCAATGAACCAACAGTAACAGTGTACCAGATTTAGCAAACTGGTAAATGTTAGCCTTCCATCCGTATCAGATGTATTTTATACATTGAGTGCATATAGTTCATACAATAGGCTGAAGCTTAGTGTTTGGGGCCAGCATGCATGATGGAATTCTGGGAATGATAGATAAATCTTGCTTGGAGAACAAGAATTAAAAAGTCACCCTCCCATCTAAATAGTGCTCAGTTTAAGTCCCTTAAAAACAGAAAAAATAAACCCATATACATAAGATAAATATGTCTTTGCTAGGAGACCCTGACTCCAAATCTCATGTAAAATAAAAGTCCTGGGTTTCTAAGTAATTTTTCTGTCATTAGCTGCAGTGGCTAATGCCTTTATTCGGAAGAATCTGAGGCCAGCCTGGTCTAAATCAAATTGAGTTCTAGGACTGCCAGGGTCATGTGGAGACTCCGATTAAAAAAAAAAATTTTTTTTTCGTGTCATAATGTCCTGCCAAAATGCATGAAGCCATGTTGACTGTGGACTGAATGAAAAATAACCTAGGATAAATCCCACCTTCCAAAAAAGGAGGGAAAATAACCCCACAAATTTGTGGGGAAATCTACTCCAATACAGCATATGAAACCTGACTGAAGAGTGAAATGGGGCATCCCTCCCAGATGTTAAACTCAATTAAATAGTCAAATGATTATCGATAGCAATAAAGAACTTGTCACTCAACCATTTACTACATATTAGAATACCGTATTTCTGATAAAGATATTCAATGCAGGGAGAAAAAATTTTTTTGAGAAAGTGTTTCTTTGTGGAGCCATGGCTGCCCTGGAACTCGGAGATCCTCCTGCCTCTGCCTCATCTTAAAAGGTTTAAGGCAATCTTTCAACTAGCTGTATACCTCTTCTCCACTGCTGTCATCTTCTTCATCTTCTGACATTTCTTCGTCTTCACTGTCTTCTTCCACCTCCTTTGGGGGAGGAGCCATTTTCTT